AGAAAGTTCGAAAACGGAGAGATACTGATGATCCTCTAACCCTTTTGCAAGATAGCGGGGTTTTATTTGGCAATTATCAAAGCGCGGTTTTCACCAATCTGGCCCGATCTCAGAATAGCCTTTTACGTCCTGTTTGCCTTCAGAACATTCTTATTACAAGCTACAATATGTTAATGAACGATTAAGTATGCAATTGTCAGTCATTTAGAAACGGGGTGCGAATGAATTGGAGAGTTCATAAATATCCGGGTCTTATGATCGTTTTTAAGCACATAGTACAGACTGCGAATATATATGAATATACATTAACTCCCAACTTTAAATCACGTTCGTCTTCTGGATAGGGATTAGCTCGGTCTCCGTGCGTACAGATGGAACTACAGGCATACCTCTAATATCCTGGCAAACAGCATTTTCTCTCTCTCTCTCACTCCGCCATCGACTGAATTAGTCTTTAAAAATTTATGCGACAGTATAATGACTATCGGCAAATCAAAGTTAGTTTCGTTTGGAAAAAAATCCAATCCGTCTAAAAATGTGGGCTTTTGAATCGTCTGTCGCCTGCTCACTTGGATCACGGATCCACGTTTGTTGATCAGTCCGACCTAATTTAAAAGCGACGTTTGTCTTGTAGATGAGGAATCAGACTCTGGTAACTGGATGTGTGACAGACAACGCAATTTCATTCCCCTTTCCTATCCACCCTTCCAAAGGCCACCATTAGTGAGGTATTACCTGCAAGTATATATTTCTCAGAACGATCAAAGTTGTTGAACATGTCGAATTTTTAATACAATGTGATCGCATACAAATTTTGAAAGGCGTCACGGTCAGAAGGCCACTTTTATTGCTGTGCAAGCAGAAGGAACTGCACGCGGCGCTTTTCTGCGATGATGCCGCTATCTCTTATGGCTTTCAGTCAAATAGGCAAGCGTTTTGCAAACTTGTCTGAAGGCATTTCTCCCGAACTAGTGTCAAATGGAGGGCATCGTGATTTATGCAAGGTCTGCCTGTGTCAAATACATCAATACTGCCTTAGACATAAGACACGTTTTGTAAACTTTTGAACAATTTACATTTGGGCTGATTGCAGCCCATGTGTTTACCTATCCGATCCTTTCGCTGACAATTGATCGGAACTTCAACATTGCCAATCAATGCATTTGTTGGAATGACTTAAAGTCGTAATGTCATGAAAGACATAAGTATGCGTTATTAGTTGCTCTACCATTTACTATCGACGTTGTCGATTGTGTGACACGTGGTTTGAACACGCCAAGGCAGCGGATAAGAATGCGCATTCAGAATGACATTTTCCATTTTGTTTGACATGGGATTAAGGACCGCCGTAATGTAAGTGGTCTTGTGCTGCCTACCGGGGAAGGGGGCACCTTCGCCGTAGTCCTAACCCACACGCTTCCCTTGACCATAACCCGCAGATCTCTGATCCCAACACTAACCCTGACCCGAGCAACCCTGCATTTAGCCAATGACTACCGTATCCCTCCACCCCACTGCATGGTTCATGCGCATGTAGTCGACCACGTTCTTAGGCCTACCCTAACGCCTTAAAAACGACCCGCGCGTTTCATTTGCTGTGCTCCTCAAATAGGTGCATGACCTTCAACGCAGCTGTCCAGCCAATATAAAGTCTCGTTCGAGCTGCCCGTGCAAGGTGACTAGCCTCAACATGTGGATCAGTCTTGCGGCAGCTTTGCTGACGACTGTCTTAATGGTCTGCGAGGGCTGTTCTTCATCTACACAACCTCCTCCGAAAAATGTCACAGGTGAGTAGATTTCCCAGCTCATAAAACTGCTGCCAAGAGCTTCCTATTTACACCATATATCAACTTCAGAAATAAGCTTAATTGAAGAGTTTGTACGCGTGGCCAACTAGGTAAAGTCCTACTCTTAAACTTCTCAGCTTACATATTGCAATTGCATCATTTCTTTATCCTATCGAAATCTTTTTCGACATCTTTTGCTGTATTATACTTTCACGGTGATGAAAAAGGTGCCAGGAGACAGCTCACTAAGTTGAGGGCGTTTTGGAGAACGTTGACGACGAAGTAAAGTCAATTTGTCTGGGCAACAAAATTTACCAGACATGACTCTCCAAACTGACTAGTTTCATAGCAATTTAGCTCACTTCAAGTTTATTAAGGGAAAGTTAGACTAGCGACCTTGAGCTCCCTATTTTTTATAAAAATATCGAAAGGAACAAAATCTACCAGACATTAAAATTACGTTACGGCCGACCAGCCTCACACCAATCAGATTAACTTTTCCCCTTGCTTTGTTAAAATTTTTTGAGTTCTTGAAATACTTGCGTTCCTACAGTAGTCGAGTTGTGGCTATTTGGCTTGATAGCTCACCTGAGCCCCCAGTTTAGATATTTTTGCTTTTACTTTCCTCAGAAATTATCTACGGAGTTGGAGTAGATAATTTCGTAGATATTTTCTGAGGAAATTAAAAAGCGACATTTTCTAAATTGGAGTATCTACCAGAAAACACACGGGAAATGCTGGGGGACCAACTGACAAGCCGAACCCTTCGCAGCTCAACCATGCAGTGACAGAGCATCGGCGAAACACGCGTATATGGGCTTCTGGCTAGTAACTGTGTTATTAGTATGCTATCGCCTTACCCCAAACTATTCACCAGCCATTTGTAAAAACTTTCTACTTATAACAACGTAGAGAAGTATGTAAAAATCAGGAATCATCAAAGTGTGCATGAAACTGCCGGTTTTGCCTTCGTAGGACAGATTTGGGATTAATTCTTTGGTAGTAATGGGTTTTCCGCTTCTTAAATAAATGTGTGAAAATCCCCATCACTATATTCAGAAGAGAGATTGGCGAGTGAACGTTCCTTTCGGTAAATTCTCGGGAACCTTCCCAGCAGCAAGGGTTCGCATATCATTCTCCATTAACCCTATTCTACGCGGAGAAGGGAAGGATAGGCTGCCACCTCAGACCGCCTCAATGTGCATCTACTCATTCACTTGCTCCTGTGGAGCAGGTTATATTGGTCGTACGAGTCGGCGCCTTTCCAAAAGAATACGAGAGCACCTTCCCGCATGGCTGGCAAAGGGTGAAACTAGGAGAATAGACAGCGCCATCCTTGCGCATGCAGTGGACTCAGGGCATCGTGTGGACCCCACCGAAGCATTTCGTGTGATTTACAAGGTCCCCTCGAGCTACCCTAAGCTACTGGGCCAGCGCCTGCTAGCAACAGCAGAAGCGGCCGCCATAAGGTTACGAAAACCGACCCTATGCGCCCAAAAGAACCTTGTTCAGGCTCCGCGCTTACCGTGGTCAAAGGTTGACTAACCACATGCAACTTTCGGCGCCCTTCCGCTCTTGCCGAGCCTATAATTTAAAACCTAACTTTTATCGATTTTGTTTCACTCACTCTACCCCGCCCTATGTAATTGTATTGGCCTGATGAGAATTTACCGAAAGGAACGTTCACTCGCCAATCTCTCTTAAATAAATCCCAAAAAGACAAGCATAGCAACAGCAATGCTTGCAACAGCACTGTCAACTCGAATTTCAACCACAACGTTTCATGACTTACATCACCTGCTCAATTTTTGATTAATTCCAATTTCCTCTTCGTAAGGCCGTTTATTTCGCTTTAGTTCCTGCTGACGTCTGTATGCTGCCGATGGCTATAAAAGGATTTTGTAAAGCAAAGTTTCCAAATTTCACCTTCAACTTCACTGCCGGAAAATTTGTGCCGTTTTTCTTCGGCGGATGTGGCGGTAACGACAATCGGTTTCTAACTCTGCTGGAATGCCAGCAGATGTGTGAATTTAAACCAGTCCCCAAAAGCCGTGCCCAGTCGTCAAGCTCAGGCTTTCGCCCAACTGCGGCCTGGCACCGTCTGATTAGCCCTACACTGTTATTTATCTTTCCCTTCTTATACCTCTGATCTTGGCATCCGCCTTCTGAGGGGTATGGTTACGCGATAGAGTGAGAAACGGAGAAATATGTGTTTACCGTCTCCTTCCTTGCCTGTCCTCGTTTTATGAACTTATATGACACCTACTGACAGCCAACTGACACCTAATTATTGGGAGATCGTTCTCCATCGCCCCTCCCCCTTTGGCCGTTTACATCATGACCTCAATGTGGTACATTATGTGAGCCCTCATTCAGGCGTTCTTATACGCCACTGTCGCTTAACCAACCACTTCACACACTTTCTTACTGTGTTTCGATAACCAGGGCAGTATCAGTAAGCATTTATGACTTATGCTCTCATGACAATGCACTGCCATTATCCTTTACAGTTTCGACTACAAAACCCGCGAATATCATTTTAGCTTTGGATATTGTAGCTGCGTATTATTTGCAAAGCGAAGGTGACCCTCTGGCAGTTGGTAGGGTCAAGGATGTCAGCACCATTTTACACGAACATGGAGGGACGATGTCTGGAACCATAACATCAGAATCGCTGACTCATTCCAATTAACCGTTCTTGAGGCTTTCCGGGAGAATAAGGTGGGGAGTTCGTGGTGTGGAATTCGTTGGGCGTCAGCTGTTGGTGCCATGGGTCACGACGCTATTTGCGAGTTCACACGCGAGTCATGCCTACCTACATCCAATCAGCGCGGGCGAGAACGCAGACCATCTTCACATCAGTGACCAGTGATCGCATCTTCGTCCTCTGAACTGCTACCTGGAACTTACCTGTTCGCTTCTATCAGCAATATTTTTGGGCGCGAAGCGCTCTGATCGGCTCGACGGTGGGAAACCTTTGCCCTTCGAGAGTCGTCTACATATGCACAGATTGGATTACTGTGCAGGTGTCTCGACAACAATGTGCTGCTGTAGTGCGTTTCATACAAACCTCCGGTCAGCACATAGCTAGCGAGACGCGCAGTACTTCAGCACGACCAGCGAATGATCCGAGTGCTCCTTCAAGACTGTCACTCACGGATTCGCAAATACCGTCAGAGGATTGACCAATAGAAAGCAAGGTGCTGCGAGTTCATGGGCGAGGACGGCATAAAACTGCTTCAGCAGAGGCTGGCCGAACGAACCCGCGAAGCAGCCCTAGAAAGCAAATTTCGTAAGCTGTCTGCTCCAATGTCATCCAAGAATGACAAACTGGTGCACATCTTGTCGCCAAAGGGGCTGACGGACGAACAAATGCAGGTTTTACGGCATGAGGCCTCATTCAACAGAGCCGATGCCAAACCTGCCAACATGATCGCAGCTGTGGAATCAATCCTCAGCCAGACGGGAGCGACAGATGAAACGAAGAACCTCCTTCGACAACAAGTGTCCCCCCTCCTCATGGCTAATAGGCCGCGCGACGTGCTTTTCAAGGTCAAGCGCGATGCTCTTAAGGAACTCAGGGTCCACAACGACCTCGTTATCGTACCCTAGGACACGTTCCTTTTTACTTCTATCCCACAGGACCAGGCAGTCGAGACCATCAAACTACTCCTACGAGAGAAATACGACAAAACGGAGAATCGCTTCGGACACGCCTAAATCATCCAGCTCCTGAACTTCTGTCTCAAGACGTACTTTTCGTTCGACGGAACAATCTACGAGCAGGTGAAGGAAAAGTCAATGGGTTCGCCGATTTCGGGACTCATAGCCAAGGCGGTCCTACAACGTCTAAAGTCGCTGGTTTTCCAACATCAAAGACCGAAATTGTGGATGACACCTTCGTCGTCATCGAACGGGATCAGGTGCTGACATTCAAAGAACATCTAAACGTCGTTTTCCCGGACATTCAATTTACGATGGAGGAGGAGGAGGAGGAGGAGGAGGAGGAGGAGGAAAACAATCAGCTGGCCTTCCTGGATGTCCTCGTCTGCCGCAAAGATTGTGATGACCTAAAAACCAAAGTGTTCAGGAAAGTGACAAATACGGCGCAAATAATGAACTTCAATAGCAACCACCCGATCAGTCATAAACTCAGTTGCGTAAGGGCTTTATACCGGCGCGTTGAGACGCACTGCAGTGAAATGGAAGACAAGGTTGCTGAATTACAATATCTTCGACGGGTAATGAGAGCACAACTTTGTCAAACAGTGCATACGAGAACCGGGACATGGCCATATTTTGAAATTTCAAGAGGCCGAAACCCTCGCAAGGGGTGCCAACCGCGTGAGCTGCCAGCTGCTCGAGTCATGGTTCTCAGGCCCGCAATCCATCAACAAGCACAATGACCTCCCGTTACCATATTCCGTGCTTAGATTTTCCCTGGGCAGGAGAATCGGTCACGTGGGGACGGCGTGGGCGAGCAATTATCACAGTGACAGCGAGCCAGTTTGCCGAGCAATCTTCACATCAGCATCCAGCACGGACGACGAAATCACGGCCATTAACTGCTCGGACTCGGACCGACAAGCCACCACTGCATCAATTACGACCCCAGCGGTGATTGCGAGAACTGCTAAAGGCAGTGCGCATACGGTCCCACGGCAGCCATGTGCTATCAATACTTCACGCTTTGTGCCACCATCACCTTTATCTGCTAATGTCTCTGATGATGGATTCGGATGAGAATCCGAAACGTCAGGCCAATGAATTTCTTATTCTAGTGATCGCATCTTCGTCTTCTCATCTTCACATCGTCACCACGCCGACCGGCGCGGGAAATCAACCGTCAGGAGGATGGACGCTTTCATCTTTTTGGTTCCTGTCGTGCCTCTTAACAATAACCGACCAATTGACGGGCCTCAGCAAAATCGAGACGGTTAAATTAGCAAACATCTGGACCCGCTAGGTGAACTGTTTTGTACTGCATCAAATATTTAAACACACATTCATCGAAATGCTTCACTTGCATAGAAGGTGCAAAATGTTATCTTCACGCATAAAGAAGGAAAGAGAGTCTGGCGGGCCGGTGAATCCATCCAAGTAAAAGTAGCCTATTAAAGTAAATTGCCGACGTTTGATTTGAATGGGCTTCATTTGTTAAGGAAGCACAGAATGCTTTAGAGCAGACGAAGGAACTGGGTCAATGAATGGCAAATATGATATTTTGGTAGTAATTTGATTATAGACGATTAACCGGGTGAGATTGGAATTTCGGCGCGCATGAGGCATACGTCAATGTTAATTCCGATATTTTATCGATTAATCATTTTTGAGTAGAGCAGAAAAGAGGATGAGGAATAGACCCATTCAATCACTGGAGCGAGTTGCTACCTATTCTGAGTCTTCAAACCCGTGTAGTTGTCCATCGTCGATGGCAGTACTAGCAACAGATCAAGCGACAGTCATAGGGGGTACCGACCAATCGAAGACCCGTGTTCAGGTTTGGAGGATTCCAGCGGCATCTTACAAAAAGACCGAGGGATGGTGTTCAGGATCATGGCCCTTGAGTCTCTGCTTCTTTCCAGTAAGCCCTTCTCGAGACGCAATAAGGGAGTAGGGTAGGAAGTTCACGGTGAGGAATTCGGCGGTTGCCAGCTGTTTGTGTCGTAGGTCACGATGATATTTGCAGCACTATGCGTGAACCATGTCCACCAACGGCCAATCAGACTTCTTTAGGTGAGCAATCCTAAAACCGAATGTTTTGGGTAGACCGAAACGTACAGTGGCTGGGATAACTCATTAAATGTCAACCAAAGTTCCGAAATGAATTTTCGTTTCGAAAAGAGTAATTAAGTAGGGTTGTGAAACTAAGCATTTTGCAGCATAATTCTATAAGTATTCCGTTATCCCAGGATGCCGGCTTTCAAATGAACTCCTTTTCGGCTGCATCCAAACTCCATACTCCGCAAACAATGATTACCTATTTAGCATGCATTTTTTCAGTCATTTTGATGCATACAAATATTCATTCTTTTGCTCATTCAGTAAAAAATCACGTCGCCTTCCAATTGCATATACTAAGGAAAAAGGGAATAATTCGGTTTTAAAAAGGCTTATAATTGTGATACTTTTTAATACCGTGAAATGGCCGTTTATAAAACGTCATGTATCTGCCTTTACCGATTTGGATTGTAAAATTAGCAATATGGATCAAATCAAATGCCAAATTTTATAAACCCTATATTACTCCCCATTATTACCACAGAGAAATGTACAATCTTCCGTTCACAGAAATTATAACTCTTGTAGGTTGGGAACCCTGAGTGCAAGTGTAACGGCAGTGTGTGTTCAAAATTATTTGGGAATTATAAAAGTATTATAAAACCTAATTATACCCTTCGTTCGAGTGTGAATTTAAAAAGACGTAATTTTCACCTGAATGAGCCAAAAAAGAAATTTTTCTGTGCATGATTAACCATGAAATAAAATTGAATCTTTAAGGGCATCGAAAATCAATGAGAAAAATTTATGCTAAATATGTAGTCATTTTTACAGAGTATAGTTTTTTTTCATGCATCCGGAAAAATATTCTTTCGAAAGCCGGCATCCTGGGGTAACTGAATTATTATAGAATCGCGCTGCAGGATGAAACGTAATTCAGAATTTTGGTTGACATTTCATGAGTCAGCCCACCTACTGTATGACAAGTATTCTGAAAAACACATCTGTCGAATTGTTTTGTCGTGATGTGGTTCGATTAGGGGAAGACAAGTTGGAGCTCAGCTTAAACCAGGGTAACTATAGGGAGAACTTTGATAAATGTCTTTGTAAAAGCGCAAAGTTAAGTTGACTGATCGCCTCTATCTCGCCAGTATGCGCGTCGCAGAAATCCAGAGTATCGCGCTGACACATCGAACAGTTTAAAATGCTTGACTGACGTTTTCTCGATTACCGTTTTCAGCCAGGTGAAACATGATATCCCTATTAGCAGACTTTTGCATGACTCGACTTAGCCCAGTAGGATGGAGCATTGCATTCATTTGCTTAGGCGCATAGCCGTCCGACTAATAAAACTAGCTCCATAAGAAACATTGTGGGCCAAAATGTACGTTTAAGACGTCTTAAATGCCAGTATTTCGGTGCTGTTGGGTGCGTGGTCGTAATAAGAGAATTAAAACGACCCTCTAGGACTTCACTGACCGGGCCTCGCAAATTAAACAATGTAGGAATGCATGCTTCTTTTTTTACCTGGGAGAATACTCCGGAAGCGCATGGCTGAACACGCAGCAGCAGTAAGGAGTGAAGACTCCAGCTCTCAGGTAACAGTTCATTCCACGGATCCCGGCCATATTTCAAAGTTTCGAGGGGTCGGAATCCTCTCAAGAGCTAGCAGCTGCGTAAGCCGCAAGCCACTCGATTCATGGTTCTCAAGCCGACAATCCATCAACAAGTACAATAACCTCCCGGCACCATCTGCAGTGCTGAGACACTCCCTGAGCAGGAGAATCAGTCCAATAGGGAGGGCGTGGACGATCAACGATCCCGGTGACAGCGCGCCGAATTGTCGAGTAATCATCACGTCAACATCTAACACGGATGATAAAAATTGCCACAGTTAACGACTCGGACGCGGAATGACGAGCCACCAACGCCTTTATTACGACCCCCAGCGATAACTAAGGGAACTGTTAATTATAATACGTATGTGGCCCACGGCAACGACGTACTATAAAAACTGCAGTCTTTGTGTCTCCACCACCGCCTCTGGTGATGGGCTTGAGTGGGAAACCGAAGCGCCAGACTAATAAACTTCTTATTTTAGTCACCTCATCACCATCATTATCATTTGGGCAGAATGATATTACCGAGAAAGACATGGTCATCGCCATCATCATCTCACTCTTCTGGACGGAGAATTATTACGGACATGGGCGAAGAAGCCAGAAATGGGAACTTTCTAACATACGCCAATTATACTTCACGGAAAACATACACAAAAATGGACATTCTTTTAATCATTCGGTGGAAAATTACATTCTCTTCCAATTTTTTAATTGAGGAAAGCGTATAATCCGGTTTGATTAAGTCTCTAATTGTGAGCTTTTTGTAAGACCGTGAAAGGCTCGATCATAAAACCTGGTTTCTCTGCATTCATAATATTGCTCAAATCCACTGCTAAATGTTATGAAACGCGTATGTTCTCCTCTTAATATCGTTGAGAGATGTATTGGTTGCTGTGCGCAGAAAATTTACGCCTTGTAGATTGGAAATCCTGAATGCAAGTTTTACGGCAGGTGGAATTCAACACTATTTGGGAATTGAAAACTTTAATGAAAACTGAATTATACGCTTTCTTCGACTACAAAATTGGAGGAAAATGTAATTTTTATTCCGAATGAGTAAAGAATGACTATTTTATTTATGTTTTTCCGTGTCATATAATTGAACTTTTAAGCGCATCAAAAATCAGTGCGAAAAAAGCATGCCACATAAGCAGTCATTTTTTGAGCGTGTGGTTTTTGAGTGCGACCTATTACACTTGACGTAAAACCTGACTGTTTTTTTCCGAGACAGAACCTTGATATCGCGTTACCTCCGTTGTATGTAAAGAATGAAGCATGCGAGTCGGATCCTAGTAGGTCCACGAACCTTCTACTTCCCCCTTTCGTTTACCCACCATCAGAGACTGGGAAGTCATGCGCGCAGCTCCCCTTATATGGCGCACTTTGATGTGTGGTCCGCCAGTGACGCCTGTGTGGCTGCATCTAACCTGCATGTCACCGTGACCTGAATAGTTCCCTCCCTCGTCGGTCGCGGAGATAGCTGACGGCCTTAATTGTCTCGCGCCGTGACTGTCCGCCGTTAAGGTGGTTCGTAATGTCAAATAAGGGGAGGCAAGTTGATTTGGCGGTTGATAGAACAGTCGGTGGACATCCAGACTTCTTGCACCTGCCTTGTTGTATGATCATTACCGCGACGCACAATCTCAACGGCTTGAAAGTTGAAGATGTGTCCCATTTGTGCGGCATGGGTTGTTGCCTCCGACGTCGCACGGCCAACTTATGCTCGTACATTCGCGTTTGTAGCCGTTGGCCGGTTTCCCCAACGTAGTTGCACCATTCGCGGCTGCAGTGAAGTCGGTAGACCACGGCGGACATTTCCTGCTAAGGGATCGAACCTTTTCGCCGCGTCACTTGCAGCGGATTGTTGAGTCAAACCTGTGGGCAAGCCTTATTCCGAGTGGCACGAGTGATCTAGCCACGGCTTCGGAGATCCCTTTACTGTACGGATTGCTCCACCACGATTTTGACTGACTATGTTCTTTATTCTGTTTCCTTGGTTACCTTCGGCTCCGTCCAACAAATGCTCGCGGATGGCCGTTGGCCCAGTTTTGCGGCTGACGTGCTGCAATACATTTACGCCCCCTGATATAACGTGCGTACACAACTTCCTTTGTGTGCAATGAGTAGTTGCGGCGTTTGCAGCACGTTAATCGGTTTGCTGTTTGGTTGACAGCTACCGAGAACACCCAAGAATGGAAGTTTGTCTCCCACTTCTTCTTCTTCTTCCATTGTCAGCAGTAGATCGGGAATGGGTGAGCTCAGCAGCTCTCCATAGGCGTCATTGGCGGGTCACACACCATACAAAGGAGAGGTGTGCGCATGACTTCCCAGTCTCTGAAGACGGACAGACGAAACAACTACTCGAAACGTCAGACGTTCAATACGCCTCTGCCGGTGAAGGCCAGTTTTCTATCTCTCAATCTGCTACTGACCGTCTTGACAGTTCGATAAGGTGTGCGTCAGAGACATCTGATCCTATCATGCATTCTCCCGGATAGCATGAGTGCTGCTTTCTCAGACTTCCCGCCGTCCAAAACAATCTGACCTAATCTGTCCACCCTCATCGCATGAGGTCGCCTACCAGCAGGTCCTATACTCTGCTCTCGACCGCCGCGTTCTCCCAGTTCATGCCATCCAACGCTAAGACTGACTGCCGTGTCTCGGTGTCGGTCCCGCTTGATGTTTATCCGGTTTCTCACCTCCAATCACCTACAGACCGCATACACCATGGTCGTTACCGGTCCTTCTGGCCTCCGCGATTTCTGACGTGTTTCTTCTGACTCCTGTAACACCAACCACGCCTTCCAATGGTTTCTATAACGGAACTATCTGACTAAGCGTTCGATTGTCCTCAGAAGTCTACTTTCTAGTCAAAATTCGTTAAACGCGTTTTAGACTTTGCTTTTCACTCATTCACTACTGCCAGTCTTCACCTACAGTCGCTCTGCTTTCCAAAATTCATGGGCTAGGCCCCTCTGAACTGTCCCGTCCAGAATTTTCGCTATTATCACAGGACGTTCGACCTAGTCGTAAGATGGTGATAAGTGTGAAATAACATTATTAGCAAAGACAATGTAGGCTGTAACGTCAGTTTCGGGCTTGTCAGCCGTCATCGGCCATCCTCACGCAACCCCGAAGTGCAGAACGCCTGGGACTTGATCTCGCGACCTGTTAGTAAATAAGTCCAACGTTCTAACCATTGAACCAAGGGCTCGTTGTCCTACAAGTCGCGATTGGACTTATTAACTATGCTAGAGAATGCTCACCGGTCCATACTCGTCCCCTTGTACTTTGCGACCCCATCTAGAGCTGTGCGCATGACTTCCCATTCTCTGATAGTGGATAGACGAAACAACTACTCGAAAAGCTGGACCTCCAATATACCACTCCCGGTGAACGCCTCCTTTTCTTTTGATAAGTCACTTGGGAATCACATTTTTATGACTATTGATAAAAATCAGGATAAATTGCTGTAAAGACTACATCCGATTTGTTTACTGCAGAGAAAATGTGGTCGGACAGAGTACTTTTTAAAAAAATTTAAGTCCACTTGAACGGTTGTAAAAGAAGGTGAACACATTCATGGAGATTTTTATTTGCGCAAAATACCATCAGATACGTAGGCTGACAGGCAGTCAAACGGTTTTTATGCAGTTTTTTAATGCCGTATGTTGTGCTAAAATAACTCTTTTTTACGTCGTTCAAACGCAGCAGTGTTCGTTTCCCTAAAAGCACCCACCGAACGGTTGCAGACAAGGTTGCATGAGGATTTTGAGGGCTCATTCTTGCTAACTTCAGTGAAAATTACATCAAAATTCCTCAGTCGTGATTCGCCATCGGTTTCGTTCTGTCGGGGTATTCAGTTCGTCTGAAAGGAGTTACAAATTCTTGAGACAAAATTTACCCGTCTGGCCCGTGACTTTAAAACGGATTTGAATTTAAACAATACTACTGTCCCTATCAACAACATGTCTGCAATTGTACAATGATAAAATTTGACATTTGTGAATGTGGGCAGGTAAATATGCAGTCTGAAATCTGTTATAGTCAATCGCGAATACTCACGTCTCCAAACTTGCTTCTCCTGCGAATGCGGTTACGTCTGCGAGATGAAACCGAACCTGACCTTCACTGAAATATGTGCTGCTTAGTGCTTGCCAAAGCATTGAATAACGGAGTCGCTCACATAGGTGCAGTCATTCCGCAAATATTTGGAAGCAGTTTTCGACTGAACTGCAATGAACAACTTTCTATGACTTTCCATCTAATCACATGTGATTCGAGTTAAAATGCAAGTAAATACTTCTGATGGACAGAGTAGACTATATTCCAAAAATGGACAGAGTAGACTATATTACGAAAATACAGTCAATTCTGTCGGATCAGGAAAAGTTCCGAAAGACAGAGAAGGAGAAGAACGGTACAGATGAGACTGAAGCAAACTGACTGACTGCTTGAAAAGGACTTCAGGCCGATGATTGAGTAAGCGAACACTACGTAGAGCGCCTCCGACCCGTCGGTACGCATATACCTCGATTATATAGTTTACCGAAGATCCACAAAGATGGCGTACCGGTTCGTCCAATCCTCGATATGAGGAACTCGCCGTACCATGCAATAGCGAAATGGCTGGCGGAGAAACTTAAGCCTCTGCAGTATCAACTAGCGTCACATAGCTATCGAAATACTTTTGAATTCATTAACGACGTGAAAGTCTTCGATCTGAACGAAATGGTCATGTTTTCATTAGATGTCTCGTCCCTTTCTACGAACGTACCGATAACGGAAACGGTCAACTACCTATGTGATTTCATTACCGACAATCAACATAATATATGAATGCCAGTGAATGCCCTCAAGGAATTGTTATTAAGGTGTACCTTGAACGTGCAGTTCGTATTCGTCAACAATCTATATAGGCAGATGGACGGCGTAGCAATGGGCTCGCCCCTTGGCCCGCTTTTGGCGAATATATTTATTGGAAAGTTAGAAGCTTTCAGCTACGTCACCAGATCAACGGTTTAAGATACTATGAGCGGCACGTGGATGATATATTCGCGATTACACCGAAACTAAGTGACATATCAATTCTACTGGATGATATAAATCAGGCGTACCCATCAATAACATTCACTCTGGAAGAAGAACAGTCCGGTTCACTTCCCTTTCTGGATGTGCTTCTGAGTAGAAGACCTGACGGCAGCATTCGACGCAGCGTCTATCGCAAAAAAACGTGGTCCGGAAAATACACCCATTTTGGGAGTTTCGTACCGCTAAACGTTAAACGTAATTTAGTCCGGTGTTTGAAAGAAAGAGTAAGAAGAATCTGCTCAGCTGATAGCGTTGAGAAGGAGCTGAAGACCATCGAAAGCCTCTTTCGCCAAAACAGGTATCCTGATTGATTCATTACTAAGAACATGGCCGAAAGACCGCAAAAGCCCCTGATACTGACGGCAAGAAGGAAAAGGCTTTTTATCAGGGTCCCATTCCAAGGGGATGCACAAAGTGAGCTCTTAAGAAGACGTCTTACTCAAGCTGTCTCGCAGACCTTTCCAGCAGCTGACACCCGTGTACTGTTCTCCAACAGTCCCATCCTACACGGAAAGGGCAAGGACAAACTACCAGCTCAGACCACCTCCATGTGTATTTACTCCTTCACCTGATCCTGTGGGGCAGAATATATTGTGGTCGCACGGGCCGGCGTTTGTCCGAAAGGATAAAAGAATACCCTCCAGCATGGCTAGGAAAGGGACAAATAAAGAACATCAACAGCTCGATCCTCGAGCATATGGTAGACAAAGACCACCGCGTAGACACCAACGAGGCCTTCAGAGTGATTTACAAGGTCCCATCAAGCTATCCAAAACTGCTTGGGCAGCGCTTGTTGGCTACGGCCGAGGCGGCTGCAATCACGCTACGCCGACCGGTCCTATGCGCACGGTAGAACTTCGTACAGGTCCCACAGTTACCATGGTTCAATGCCACCAAGCCAACCACCCGCATGTAAATACCTTCGCCGGGACCCACCTTCTCCCGGGCTCTGACTGGAATTGTGGCGCTTCTTTCTCCCACTCCCCTCTCCAAACCCGAGTTACATCTTAATTATCTACTCGCCCGTATCTTTTAATTCATTACTTCAATAGCAATATAAATGTACAGGCCTGAAGAGAATTTATCGAAAGCAGACGTATGCTTGCCAAATTGCCTTTTGAATTTTACAATGGGAATTTTCGCAATTCTGAAAAAGCGCTATTTGTCAAATAGTTCAATATTTCCCACCGAAGCCTTAGGCTGATCCATTACAGCATATCGTTCTCTGAATTACGGTCAGCCGGATTCATATATTTTGAACTGAGCCCTGGTTTTCCAAGAACATTCCAAGATTGGCGATCTCACAGACCCACACCTTCACTATCCGCCTTGAGTTTGAAGAGAACTTGGATGATTTCTTTCAACTGATAGACTCCTGTGTGAACTGCAATGTAAGGTCGGTTACAAAGTAGTCCATGATGAACCCTGTTGGGGGTGGGACGTCCGTCCTTCATCTCGGTAGTCAATCTGTCGTCGATTCATGCCTTACCTGAGTACCGATGATCAAAGTCCTGTCTGCGAGTGAAAACTTAATCTTATCAAGAGATTAAATAAAAAAGTGGTCCCACACAGCCTGGACACCATTGACTTCACACAGATTTGCACATCCCTCGTATATGCAGCTAGAAGAAGCACGGGTGAAAGCACGCTTTGCTAGGTGAATTAAGCAGGTTTTCGAGTTACCCATCATTTCGAAGAACTTCGTTTTAGTCCTTAGCACTCAAATGTGAAAAGGAAATGCCCGTTTTTGTCCTGAGAGCAGGAATGGACCGTCGAAGGTGTATAGTCTGTCCTAAAGCGAGTTATCCGAAGAGGAGGAATTTTAACTACAAGTTCATAAGTCGTTCCTGACGCCTAATACGCAGGAAAGATGCAAAACTGTCGAGAATTATTTTGTTTTGTGGAGCTAGTGATAGGATACATGTCCTTTTGGACTGTGTGGCAAGGTCACCATTTGTACAGGGACGCTGTTAATCGGGATTTTTTAGGGTCACACTTCTCGGGACAAATACGCGGGGAATGTTGCGAGAAGTTTTAATTTGGTTAGTGAAATCTCACAACTAAATACCTCCATTTGTCTGGTCCGAGCAACAGATTTCTAAGGTCACTCATGATCAGAAGTAGATGAGACGGGCGAGTTAGCTAAACAAACCCATGTCGTTCGGCATCTCACAGTCTTCCAATCATTCAATCGGTCTCAGACGTGTACCTGAACTGAACTCTGTTATTCATTGCTCCACCAAGAGTGGAGATTTAATAACATTAACAGACCAGACAGACAATTTGACACACAACAATCCTACGCCGCCACAGTTAATCTGGTCCACATACATCCTAACATCGTTTCTCCTAGCCCGATTTCAATGAAAACAGTCGTCTTTCAGCTGACAGACTGCTGTACGAAAGTAAGTTGGGGCAAAGCCCGTGAGGAGACCTGCTGGAGGGGAGGGGGGACGTTCGTCATTCTGCTCTGCAGTCAGTCAATCATCGATGCATGTGCGACCTGAACATTACTCATTCACGGGTTGTGCCGAGGGCAGAGACCTGATCAGACGAGACAGTGGATTTTACCCCGCAGGCGCACGCCATCACAGTTCACTCCGTCAGCACCCACATGCAGCAATCACAAGGTGCTCGAAGAAACATTGGTATGGAAAGGCTTTGTTGTTCATTTGCATCACGCGATGTTTTCTCACATGACCATAAAATCGTGTCATGGCGTCCCCAAGAAGGTCTGGCATGATCAGACGAGACAGCAGAGTTAAACCCACACACCCACGACCTTGTGGATCTTGTTGTCTACCAATCATCACTACGGAATGTTCAAACCGCCAAGGAACTTGATCTGAAAGGAATGTGAATTCCACATTGCAGCTTCTGTCTGCATTGCAGAAAATGATCATATCCGATTTCTGTAGGATCAGCTAGGCCTCAAACGAGTAATTACGCAGCAGATTAAACACTGCATTGGACATAGGGACACCACTTAAACAGTAGGTGAACTAACTCATGAGATGTCAACCGAAATTCCGAAATGCGTTTTTGTTTCGAAAAGATTAATTAAGTAGCGTTGTAAAACTTGTCAGCTTGCAACATAATTCTCTAGTATTTCAGTTACCTCGGGATGCCGGCTTTCTAATGAACTTCCGTCCGGCCGCATGCGAAAACTACACTCTGTAAAAAATGACTACGTATGTAGCATTAGTTTTTGTGCAATGATTTACCGTACTAACTACACAGGTATTAGCTAGAAGCCCAGACGCGCGTGTTTCGCCTATCTTATGCCGCTGCCTGAGGCAGCTGCGAGGGGTCCGGCTCATTAGTGGGTCCCCCAGCTTTCCCCGTGTGTTTTCTGGTATACGAACTCCAGTTTCAACTTGCCTTGTTTAATTTCCAAAGAAATGAATGCGCGAACTTGGAGTAAATCTTTCGAAACGGGCCTTTTCAGGCACGGTCCAAATTTGGATATGAATGTTTGAGCTGAAATTCATCAGCTACTGCGGAATAACCGCTTAACATTCACAAACCGCCAACAGGCAGCCAGTAGTATAGAACTAAGCAAAGATTTACCGTACTAACGACACAGGTATTAGTTAAAAGCCCAGATACGCGTGTTTTGTCAATCTTATGTCGCTGCCTGACGCATCTGCGAGGGGTTCGGCTCGTCAATGGGTCCACCAGTGTTTTCCGTAAGTTTTCTCATTGATATTCGATGACCCTACATGTCCAATTATATTTCATGGAAAAAATGCATAAAAATATTCATTCGTTTGCTCATCAGGTAGATAATTACGTTTTTTTCCAATCCTATAATCGAAAGAAGGGTATAATTCGATTTTTAAAGACTTTTCCAATTCCCGATTAATTTTGAACCTCAATAATCAGCCTTTTAAACTACAAGCCGTATATTGTCAGCGTACAGAAAACCTCACATTTCTCTACGGTAATAAAGACAGCCCATATGGGGTTCATAAAATGAAGCAATGGGTTTGACCCATATTGTTTACTTTACGAGCCACATTGGTAAATGCGGCGACATGACGATTTATGAACGGTCATTTTACGGTATTAACAAATCTCAAAATTAGGTTGACTAGTTTTTAAATCCTACCTAATTAATCTTTTCGAAGCGAAAGCGCATTCCGGAATTTTGGTTGACATTTCATAAGTTAGCCCAACTGCTCTACATTCAATGATATTTACCGGCGAACTGCATTTCAGTTCTACAATCGCTTGGTGCGGCCTCATTCACATTGGTCAATATCTAAAATATCCCAACAAGCCGTCAAGTGCCTTTGGGAATTTGTGAATAAAATATCAACAAATTAGCCTGAACTGGGGAGTTATTTCGACTGACTCAAGTAACTGGGCATGTTGCTTAGTCTGACTTGGCGTCTCTGAAGGCATGTAGGCGCACGACATTGGTTGCACGGCGCTAACAGTATCCATCAGTATTAAGGGCATGACCTTGAACTTAGTCGTCTACCCATTTAAGCAGCCTCATTTGAGCAGTAAGTACAAGGTAACAGGTGGCATCATGTGGAGCAGACTCGCGATGGTTTTGATGACCACTGTTTTACCAAGTTGCTATGGTCTTTCGCCGCAAGGGATGCCAAACGCAGCACAGCCTACTCCAGCAAGTGCATTAGGTCAGTTCTTGCCTTGCCTCAGAAAAATATTATAGACTTGCATTCATAGTTACATGTCTACTGCATGCAACCGTTGTTTCTCACAGAAAATCATCTGCATTTCCTGTACATATAATATGTTTCCTATGACGCAGCGTTCGTTGTCGCCAGTAGCAAGCTGGAGGGCGGACGAAATGGAATCGAGTGAGATCCTAGCCAATGCAGTGAGGGTCACATGCCTACTAGACATGCTTATATACCTCACTACATAGGGCCTATGAAGTACTGATCGATAAGGGACATGAAACAGTTGTCTGCCTCTGGCCTGTTGCACTTTTAGTGAGCTGCCTATGTATTATATATATATACATATCTCGAAAGAAACATGTTCTTTGCTAAAGACGACACAACTTATTCTGTAAATGTTCGACGTTGACTCCCCAATTCGGCCTCAAACATGAAGCAAATGTGCGAAACAGTTAAAATTTGAACATGCCTTAAGATCGATATTGCTCTGTCGTTCCTGCTTCTCGGCTGGCATCATGTTCTGACTAGCTAACGTCTTTTCGACTTTTCCTTAATTCTACTGCGCTTAGCATCTTATTCGATGTGTTGAATGATGCATGAGTTATTAGAATAAATGGCCTTTATGACGCATTCTAGAGGCACTCCTTAGGTGAGACGCCGCGCGTTGTAGACGGGGTTGTGTTTGATCAGTCAGTGGTTGCTTATCGGGTCTCACAAATTCCTAACGGTATAAGCATTCAGTCCTGAACCCCTCTCTAATCCTCGGACTTACTTCGGAGTAGACTCTCAAGTTCTTTATATGGACGTTTTCTGATTCGTATATGCTTCTACTTACAGTAGATATTGCTAACTCATGAAATGTTAACCGAAGTTCTGAAATCCGTTTTCGACTCGAAAATATTATTCAAGTAAGACTGTAATGCTGATAGCCGTGCAGAGCAATCCCATAATAATTCGGTTACTTTGGAACTTCTTTTTGGCCGCCTGCAAAAACTACACGCTGTGGCTTTTTCATTTCCTCCGAAATTATCTGCGAACTTGGAGTTAACCAGTTTATTCAAGTTCTATAGGCTCAGACCGGTTTGAGGCTATAGACCTTCAATGAACTCATCTACTCCAAGTTCGTAGATAATTTCCGAAGAAATCAGAAACCAGCAATTTCTAAATTGGAGTATCCACCAGAAAACACGCGGTGACCGCTGGGTAACCCACTGACGAGCCAAACCCTTCGCAGCTGTGCCATGCAACGACAGAATATCGGCGATACACGCGTGTATGGACTTTTGGCTTGTACCTGTGCTTTTAGTATGGGATTCCCTTACCGTAAAGTATACTACAATCTGTAAAAAATAACAACTTATGTAGCTTGAATCCTTCTTATTGATCTTTGATGTTCTTATAAATTTAAATATATCTCATAGAGGAAATGCACAAAAATATTCATCCCTTTATTCGGTTGGTATAAAAGTGCGTTTTCTTCTACTTTGATGCCTGAAGGAATGGTATAATTCGGTTTTAAACCTTTCCTAGTGCCCGAATAATTTTAAACCAGACCTGCGTCTACACTTGCATTCAGGGTTTCCAAACTACAAGTTGTATATTTTCGAAGTTCGGAAAGTCATCCATTTCTCTACAGTATTAAGAGAAGACAATATGGAGCATATCAGTATATTTGAGCCATATTGCAATCTTTACAAGCAACATTAGTAAATTTAGAGACGTGGGATGTTATGATCGAGCGTTTCACGGTCTTAAAATTTCATAGTAAAAACTTTTCAAACGAAATTATACCCTAGCTTTAAACAAAAGATTGAAGTAGACGTAACTTCCTACCAAATGAGTAAATGGATAAATATTTTTATGCATGTTTTCCATGAGGTATATTTAAATTTATAAGGACATCAAAAATCCATGAGAATAATTTATACTTCCTGCGTGGTCAGTTTTTCAGAATGCAGTTTTGTCAGCAACCGAAAAGAAAGTTCGTTCAAAAGCTGGCATCTTGAAGCAACCCGTATCTGCTGTTGTCTCTGATGATGGGTTCGAGCAGGAACCCGAAACGTCAGGCTTATAAATTTCTTGTTCCAGCGATCGTGTCTCCTTTTTCAAAACAACTGGATTATTTAAGGATTCTGCAGCACGAAAACTAATATTATAATCCTACTTTAGTAGTCTTCTCAAAACGAAAACGCACTCCAGAATTTCGGTTGACATTGCATGAGGTAGCACAACTACGGTAAACTTCTAAAGTACTGTGGAATTGAAGGATAAAGACCATTTGGTACGGCCTCAGCTTCCTACTCTATCAAACACTCGATTCTCTCTCCCGGTAGATCGGATACTTTTCACGCATTCAACCGTTCTTTCCGTCTTTAGGTAATATCGATCCCTGCAATCTCCCAATGGAATCAGGACCTTGTCGTGCATATATGCCAAGATTCGCCTTTAACGTCACTGCCGGAGCATGCCAGCAGCTCATCTACGGCGGTTGTGGCGGCAACCGTAACAGGTTCGGTACCGAAGAGGAATGTCTGATAGCAGGTGGACCAAGAACACTCCACAGGAATGAGACCAAAACAACAGGATCTGGTTTTCATTCGACTGCAGCCCCGAGTCTCCTTGTCAGTTTAACCCTGTCATTAGGATTTTTTAACCAGTCTCCTTAGCCTGTCTTCGCCGTACAGTTTGTGTTTTGCTTCCGTTTTCTACGATCTGTTCTGTTTAACCTGTTATTTACTCGTTCTTCCAATACAGGTCACGCGGTATGTTTTGTCAGTCGGCTGGTATCTGGCTACTGGCATTTCATCACTGTAATCAGACGTCTTCCAAATCAAGCCACTTATAGGCATGTTAGACGAAACTTCTTTCAAACCCCCTGGGGATCGTTTATTTCAGCTATGTAGTTATTTTTGAGTACTTGGACGTCGTATGGCGACGGAAATGGTGGCGTGAAATAGTAGTTGTTTTCTTGTCAAATATGGCAGACAGTAGTCATAATTGTTTGAAAACATTCGATGCTCGACATTTTCGATAAGCTACAAAGTAGATGTATAAATGTCTTCCATATCACTGATATTATTCTAATGAGTCGAGAGGCACCACCATCAAGTCTTCTGCTTTGTAAATGGTAGGACATATGTTCACAATGTGTTTCGTGGCAACGATCTGCTGAAGGTCCCAAGTGTCTGCGACTGGTCACAGGCATCTGCCTTACGAGGACGGTGTTAACAGGGATTTTACGTGTGGCGCATGAGGAAGCCAGAAGATTGATTCTTTACTCTATAAGCTGAGGTCATGGCAGGTTGTGCGACGTCCGAAAGCAAACTCCACGTTTAGAGGGTAATGAATAAAACGCTGCCTACTTAAACAAGTATAGTAGGCATTGCTTATGTGTTGTAGATACTCGGAGCCTTCATCGTACCCTTAACTATCCCGTGGCGAGATAACGTTCGGGATAAGAGTGTTTAGCTCGTTGCCTAACAATATTAATTTGTCGTGTAATGCGCTGGAATAATGTTGTGGGCAATAGTGTTTTATCTGTTGCCTAGTAATAGTAGCTTGTCGGTAATTTGGTAGGACACTGTTAGGGAGAAGTGTTCTAATTGTTGCCTAATAATAATAGCCTGTCGTGTAATGTGGGGGGGTAATGCTCTGAGCAAGAGTGTTTTATTTATTGCCTAGTGTTTCTTGATTTAGCTAGGTAGTAGCCTTCCGTTACCCGGGGCTAAATGAGACGCACCTTATAAGGCAGCATGTATCAGATAGTGTCAAAATGGCTTAAATCATAAATGAAGTAAGATTGCGCGGTCCTGTAAGGCCTTCTTAGTTGCGTACTTCTCACGAATGAGAACAGGTTAACAGTGGTCTATAAATACCAGGACCAGGATTAGGAACGAATAAATCTCGCCTTTATGCTATGCGTTTTTCTTAGACATTTTGCTTTTGTAGCTCACAGAGAAAATATCTAAAGTTTAATTCTTGCCGGTTCATTCGCCAACCAACAGACGCACTGTCTGAACTGCAGCGCGTGCTATTTTCTCCGAATATCTTATTTAATTTCAAGGAAGGTGGCTTGGTTCCTTCTCACAAGTTTCACATCGGTTGTAACGCGAAAACCACCGATTCCCTGACATTCCACATGCATGAAATAGATACAACCTACTGAACGCGCTTCATATAGTTCTCACATAATCGATACTCTCAGTAATCTTTTTATCATCAGTCTCTTCGACGAATTTTCGAGACGATTTGTGTAACTTCAATGTTATTATTCCCCCGCGGCTGCATAACTGGCAATAGATGAGAATAGGAACGTCTTCAGTACGACATAAAAGGAATAACTTAACCGAACAACGCCTACTTAAACAAAGTTAGTAGGGAGTCTTGCATGGATAAACCTACCCCGACCACATACAATACGCCTACTTTATCATTTGGGATGTCCTTAACTAAATGCAGACGTCTGCCCAATTAAAGTAACTAAGTTTGGCGATGATAACTATGTGGACAAGTCCGGCATACGTACGCATTTGATTGTTCATCATCAGGCCTGTACAGTAACATAAGGGCAGAATAGCAAAAGTTGAACATCCAATAGTAATTAAGAAACAACAAATCATGGCATTCAGGAGGCGATGGTCATATTTCAGTCTTACCGACAGGTCATGAGTAATGGAGAGAAAGCCTGTTCTACATGCTGACGAGCTATGAATATCAATAACCAACACTGCTGTCATCTGATTGCTGATAAGACCGTTGTATCCGTGTCCGCAATTGCAATGCTTAGACCCCTACGTAAGCTGATTATTGCTTTGGTGTCTTTGCCTACTCACCATCACCATTTCAAAAATGAACCAGCTCAACGGCTAGACAACCTTCCAGTCGCTTCCGCTGACGAGAACGCCTCCGTGGAGAACCAATGGTGTCAACTGCAGGACACAGTCCAGTCGACGGCCATGGCTGTCCTTGGTCACGCACGACGCCAACACCAGGACTGGTTTGATGACAATGGCGCCGCAATGATCGGTGAGCGCCCCCAACCATTGTATATTGCGATCGAAAACCGACAGGGCAACGGGCTCGTGGCCCAGTGGTTAGAGACGTGGACTTCTAACAAACAGTTCGCGAGTTCGAGCTCCGGGTGTGTCACAATTCGGGGTAGGGTATGACTGGCTGACGACGGCTAATAAGCCAGAAATGGCCATTCCAATCTCCCTTGTCTTTTTCGGTAATATCATTCTGTCCATATCATGCGCCGCTGTGCAGCTGCTGGTTGGGTTCGATAGAGAGCCTCTAAGGCACATCGGAACGAGTGAGTTCCGTAAGAACGATCGGTGAGCGCCCCCAATCAATGACACTACCATTAGCAATCTGCTCAACGAAATGAACGGCCTACACAAAGCCTACGTCGACCGCCCCACCGACAACAACAGAGCAGCCTTCTACGGTGGTCGCCGCCTCGTCCAACAGCGGCTGCGCGACATGCAGGACGCCTGAATAGCTCGCAAGGCTGAGGAGATGCAGGGGTACGCGGACCGCAACGAATGGAAGAACTTCTTCTCCGCCATCAAAGCTGCCTACGGCACGCCGATCAAAACAACTGCTCCTTTTGTTAGCGCCGACGGCAGTACCCTCCTCACTGAGAAGGCAAGAACTCTACAAAGATGAGCCGATCGCTTCCAAGGCGTCTTCAACCACCCCTCCACCATCTCCGACACCACCATCGCCCGTCTGCCTCAAGGGGAGACCAACGCCGACCTCGACCTCCCACCCTCTCTTCACGAAACCATCAGGGCCGTGCAATGGCTCTCCAGCGGGGAAGCGCCCGGATCGGACGTGATCCCTGCTGAGGTCTACAAGCACGGCTGTCCCCAACTCATGGACCACCTGACTGCGCTCTTCCAGGAGATGTGGTTTCAAGAAGAATTTCCGCAGGATTTCAAAGACTGCACAATCATCCATCTCTTTAAGCAGAAAGATAACCGCCAGTTCTTTGGCAACCATCAAGGCATCCTCTTGCTGAATATCGCCGGTCTTTGCTCGAGTCGGTTTCCGTGCGTCTCCTGTTGCGCGACTTACTCGAGCCTGAGACTCCTTCCATGACACCGCTCAGCCTGGGGTGAAATACAGTGAAATCCTGAGGTGTGTGTGTGTGGTTCACGCAGCTCGTCACGTTGTGTGTGTGTGTGTGTGTTGTGTGGAATGGCGGACTGCTGGGCTGGGGACGGGCTGAAGCAGTACCTTCCACGGTTCTCTCACGCAAGTGAGAGACACGCCGTTCAACACCCGTTGTGTGAAATCCTGGCGTTGTGTGTATGGGGGGTCAGGTCGTGCTCTTGGCGCGCGCAGTCATGGTCAGTCGACCAAGTCAGCCACCGCGCCCATTTCCCACTCCAGTCTGCTGACCGGCTCGGACAGCGGCTGGGGTGTGGGAGTGGGAAGGGAGAGTGAGGTCGACGACTCAGCGCACTTCCTCCTCACTATAAACAATCTGACGCGCTTGAAGCTATCACGGTGCACTAAAAGCCGTGGCTTGGAAGGTTGCCAACTGACGGGGTAACTTGGACCTCCTCCTCGACTGGTTGGGGTCTGAGAGTCAGGCTGCAATGGCTCCTTCTTTATGTGGCCTTTATGGCACTCCTACCACAGTGTGGGATCCGAGCCAGGCGTTGGCGGCACGCCTAGGTGCGGCTTCGGCCGTGCCGGCCTCCAGTCTCGGTTGTGTTGGTTGAAATCCTGGTTATTTGTTGTGTTGACCAGGGGGTGTGATGGAACGCCAAGGTGAGGATCCGTCCGAGCCATCCACCTGCGGCCTCCCCCGTCTCCGGTCTTCTTGACTCTGTCTTGACACCGGGCTCGGGCGAGGGAGGAGGAGAGAGTGCAGGTAGATGCAGCGCAAGTCTGCCTGCACTATGAACCCCGCGCAAGTCACCGTTCCTGTTTCCGCCACCTGCTGTGGAGCGCACGGTGACCACATTAAATCCGGCCAAAATTACTGTCCAACACGTGCATGGCACGCCTTGGCCCTCGTGATGCGCCAATCGTTATGTCAGTCTCGGTCTGATATGCTCGGGCAGTCGGCCGGTGTACAGAAGTGGGGTGAGAGACTGTGGCCCACATTGGAGAATCCATCCTCCCAACATATCAGCGGACGCGCTTGAACCCAAAACGACACGCCTCTGTCGTGGCTCGGAGGGGTGCCAACTGCGTGTCTTAAAAATGCGAAGGCTTGAAGACAGAGGGATTTTGAATAATCAGTTCCACTTTGTTGGATGTCGTCGCCAACTAGCCATGTCATCAAATGCCAAGCCTGCATGACTGGAGCTTCTAAGTGGACTCTCACATGATTAAGGCAACTTAGCTCATGCCAATGGGCTGTCGTCCTGTTGACTGCAATAGGCAGTTCTTAAAGTCACATCTGTGGGATATTAACCGATCAATCCTGATTGACGACACTATGCATAAATTCGCTTTCGTCTTTGAACTTTGGTCTAAATACAACGTGGGCGATAGTGAGAGTCCCACGCCTATTTGGCACTCAGGTGTTCTGTTCTGTAGCCAGAAACTAAACACTATCGTTTTATCGAATTCGAAGATGGTTTGGTTGCTCTGTGGTTGTTAAGACTGCACAGCATGTTACGCTACTTTAGACTGAATGATTGCCAATAACACGTCTCTGCTCATGAACCCGGTTGGTGCTGCCGGGTAATGGTTGCCATGTCTCCCTCCCCTCCCCTCGTCGTCTCTTCGTTTGTCGAAATATGCTGGTCGTCAACGTGAAGTTTCCCAAGCCAACATTCAGGGGTAGGGAGAATTGGTAGGACAACCTTCAGTGCGCTGGGGTAGAGGTACAAGCGAGTCAGAATGAAGTGTCAGTTATTTGTATCAGCAAGCCGATTTTCGATCGCTGTGCGCGCGCGTGCACCCTAGCCCTGCTCGACTGCGGCCAATTGTTGAAGGCAAAAGTATCGATCGGCGTCACGGCAGGCCGAAGGCTGCGCCCAACGCCGAGCGTGTAATTAATTGGCAAGGTCTCTGTGTCCATGCCGTGTAGACGCGCGAACGCGCTGAACTAGTACCGCTCGGCGCGTGCACTGGTCCACATAGCTTCATGGGTCAGCGGAACACCAGGACGCAGCTCGCGGCCGGTCGATAAAATGCGCCGAATGCCATGAGTATTTGACGCACCCACTAAATATGCCACCCAACTTGAAATAAATAACTTGAGCGGGGTTGTGAAATTGAAGGCGTGCCACGTAATGCCAAGTTACTTCCTGAACTACGGAATGCCGGCAGCTGGTGAAAAATCATCCTATTTGTCCTGCTCACTTTAAAAAATGTCGATTTCCGTTTTAAAAACTTTGAATTTATGAGAGCGTTTGAGGCGATCGCGTGGTTCTTGTGAGATAAGCGGTTGTGTGCTCGTAGGGGTTTAGGGGGGGCCAGTTAGGGGGCACCTGTGCATGGGTGGTAAGTGGCAGCACGCAAATGGTGACTGCTCATCACGGTCCTTACTCGGCAACCACCTATCATCTGTGATTCCCCGAAGGAAGACTTTGCATAGCGACCACATCCCGGTAACCCTCTCAACTGGCTTGCTTAACCAGATGGCGATATCCGATGTTTTGTGTGACCCCACACCCAGTAATTGAGCTCCCATTCCTGACCCCTCCTTCCACTCCAAAAAGTGCTAAGGAGAGAGCGATATACTATCCCGTAGGCGGCACAGACTAATTAGAGTCACCCTTTACTAAACAAGGTCGTGACCACTTGTCGAGTTCAACAGTCGTCTGGGATATCCAAGACGTCCTATTTGGGGATAACAGGGTTTGCCCTCTGGGGAAGTGACTGAAAAAGGGGCCTCAAATAAATGCTGTTAAATCAGGCCATCTGAAGATATACCGTGGCTGGTAGATGCAAAACTCGAAGTCAAAATTAAATAAAGTACCCCGACAATCCGAAGCAACATCGTGGAACGACTGCCCTGTCTGCCACAGGGCATCAACGGCCGCTTAATAACCCTGTGTTAGCCCCTTTGGGAGGCCCAATTCGGTTATTTACGCCCACCCCTTTTCCCAATGACCAGCTCCGATGACGGGGATGAATAAATTAAATGAGGACTTACACGTCCTTCTGACGACTGTACCGAAGGCGAACATGTTGATATCCGCGCTTCCTGGAAGGGAATGTGGCGCCCTCATGCAATTGGACACTGAAACGACAACGGCCCTCTTTTTCTTCTTCTACGAACCTACGCAGAACACCGTCTTCTCCCTCCCAACACCCTCTTCTGAGTTTCAGGGCGGAAGAAGGCGAGCGAGATGCAGCCTCGATCGTGGTGCTGGCAGCTGCTGGAGTGCGTTCTCGTCTGGAGGCTATATCGACTGGCGATTCCAACGCCGACAGCCGGACGGACCATCGCCTCATCTCTTCAAGGCGGAGGTTCTGGCTCTAACCTAGCAGGTAATTTAAATACTGTCCTGTTGAATTCGCCTATTCACTGCTAAGATTTCAGCAATCAGCTGACTCGGCGACTGCTATCCGATCCACTGCCTTGAGCGTCTTTGGACTCGTACGGCGTCGCCAGCATGAATGGTTCGGGAACAACCACCCAGATGTTGACAGCCTGTTCAAAGAAGAGAACAGGCCGCACAAAACCTAATCGACCGCTGGACCAATGCAAACAAAGCGGCCTTCGTCAGATGTCATCGCCCTGTGTGAGGAAACGGATGAAGGAAATACAGGGGATCTGGAGGGCTCGCAAGGACGGCGAAATACAGAGGTGAACGAACAGCAATGAAACAAAGAACTTCTGCGTGTTAGTCAGGGCATTCTACGGCCACCCAGTCTAAAGAAGCGCCCCGCATCCCATGACCGAAGGAACAACACTTTTGACAGAGGAATTGTGGCAGGTTCTCAAGCGCTGGGCCGAACACTTCAGAAGTGCCCCTAGCTGTCGACTCTGCCAGCGACCGTCTTCCCAAGTGGAAACAAAAACAAACTAGACCTCCCGCCTTTCGCCCGGAAACAATCAGAGTCCCGCCCCAATTCTCCATCGAAAAAACACGGGACCCCGACACGATCTCGGACGATGTCTGCATACCGGGCGGTCCCGGCTGATTCACAGGCTTACAATGCCATTTCAGGAGATGTGGCGTCGAAAACAAGTTTCTGAGGATTTCAAGGATATGACAATCGTCCATCTCTGAAAACGAAAAGGGAAAGTAGCAACTCTGTGATAACGACAGAGGGATCTCGTTGCTCAACATTAACGGGAAGATTTTCTTTAGCATCCCTCCCAACTGTCTCGACGACTGTCTTGACTAAGAACCTCTCCTGGAAAGCCAGAGTGCCTTCCGACGACGCTACGGAACCTCTGACACGATCTTTGTCCCTCCCCATTTTCAAGAGAATTCCAGGAAATGCGGATCCACCTCCACACTGCCTTCATGGACCTGAAGAAAGCGGTAACAATCGGGAGATGACCCCCAAAAAGACCCGGTCAACCAAAGCAGCCTGTCCTACGGGATATGTGGTAATAGAGGTTCAATGGGTGAGGCCTTCGAATGCGTGGATAATACTCCAAAATAGTATGAATTTTTTCAGAAACGAAGCTGTGGTCTACGACGATCGTTGCGCAACTGTCCAAAGGTATGGTGCCATATATTGAGCCGCATACCTACAACTGCGATCGTTACCGACCTAGGGAAGTAATGGTCATAATCCATAAGCCAAAGGGTCCGTCCACAGCGATCGTGTCGCAAGTGTCCGTACGTATGCTACTGTAGATTAATCCGCATACCTACTACTGAGCTCGCTCTTCAGCTGTGGAAGATACTGCCAAGGTTGGTAAACATAGGATAGGTATAAAGTGATCATTCCCCAACTGTCCGAAGCTATGTTCTTGCAGAATAAGCCGCAGAAGGAATAATGTCGTCGCTCCTGACCTAAGGAAGCATATTTGAAGGATGGCAAACCAGTGGTTGGTCTACAGTGATCGTTTCTCAACTCTCCTAAGGTATGCAAGGCTGGGTTTACCCGCAACTCCACTTCTGGAGTTTGACGCTCCATAACCAAAGATCCCGGGTTCGAATCTCAAGTGATCCACACTTGGGGTTGGTCATGACTGGCTGATGACGGCGAATAAGCCAGAAATGGCCATTCCGGTCTCCCTTGTCTTTGTTGGCCCCATCTCATCTATGTCTACTACTAGTCGCTGTGCGACTGCCTGCCAGGGTTCTAGTATGAGCCTAAGGCACAACGGAACGAGCATGTTCCGTAACCTGATCGGTGAGCGCCCACTATCATAATATATATATATATATATATATCAATCAGGAATGGGCGCACACCGATCTATTGGCTTCACAAAGCAAACAAGCTCCGTATGTGTGGCAAAGGT